CATCAAGCAAAGGGCGGCAAAGAGACAAACACTTCGGTATCTGTGAAAAAATATGGAAACACCCGCAAAGCCAGCTGGAATCCAACATACGCCCGTGGGCGGTTTCAAATAAAAGCAACGAGGTAAAGGTTAACAGCAGGGCCGCCAGCTGGCACCTGGGTGGGTGAGATGGCCTGGCTATCTGGGGCCAAGTTGGCTACACCCCCCAAAACAACAGGGCCAGACCCCGTGACCCAGCAGGCCCCGTCTAGGGATTGGTCCAACACATACTCGCACACGTCCCAAGAGGCACACACAGCACGTCCACGGCAGCAGACCGGAACAACCTAATTATACTCCCGTGGGGCTCACGAGATGCCAGCTATAGCCACTGGGTAGAGTGCTGTGAGGCCAGCAAGAGATGACCATGCTACAGTCAAGTCACCTGGAGACCTTCTGCACCCAAATCCCCCCGGCCCCACCCCACGGGCAGCACCCAGGCCAGTTAAGCCAGGTCTCCTGGGGGCAGGCCAAGGACTCAGCATTTTAAAAAAAGAGAACCAGAGGGTCAACTGCAAGCCATGTGCAGCTGGAGCCTCATCTGTAGATTTAAACAAATCCGTGTCTGTAATCAGGACATGCTGAGAAGGCGGGGAGTTCACGGCCGACGGAATGACCGAGGCAGGCGGGCTGGCACGCGTGCCCGGGGTGGCATCCTCCGTCTGCACGTCTGTGCATGTCTGTGCAGATCCTGCTGCAGCCACGCTCTGCGAGACGTGCTTCTGCCCTCTGATGGGAAGACGAGCCGGCACGGTTTCTAGCATCACAGGACACACCAGGGAGAAGCGGCCGCTTCTGACTCTGAACTCTCTCCAGTCGGTCCGGCACCGCAGGCAGACACAGCCGCTGGCCCCAACCGCATACCTGCCTGCTGCTTCACCCCAACATCTGTGGCCCTAGTTCTGACTCCACGATCTTAGGCAAAGCAGGTTGCCAGGGCCGGACACGAAGGCCACGGCGCCCTACATGAGAAGCAGCAGGAGCAGCTCGCTGGCCACCCTCATCCTGCCAGGCTTCCCTCAGGTGGGCCTGAGGGTCCAGCCGTCCCACGACGCCCCTCTCGTGGCTCTGGGCTGGCAGAGGGACAGCCGGGCTGCGCCGTAGGCAGGCAGGCCAGTCAGTGTCCCAGCGGGGCAGGGCCCTGTCCCTCACGCAAGCCCAGCCCCCAGGAGAGAGGCTGTTTCTAGGCAATAATTCTCTCTCAGGGCTCCCTTTCCCCTCCTTCTCAAAGAATCCTGCTGTGACGAGACAGGCAGGAGGCGGAGTGGCCCGGCCTTTCTGGATGTCCACCGCAGCTCGGCACCGGCTACAGCACGCCCGCCCCTCGGGAGCTGAACTGCAGGACCCAGGGCGGGCACCGGACCAGACCCGAAACCGACCCCAAGAGGCAAGCCCCCGGACCGCTGGAGAGGTGCCTGACTGGTGACTGGGACGCGGATACTGCCTGGTTTGTCCCCCTCTCCTTCTGCAGTGCTAAGCAATGTCTGTCAGCATGTCTGAAAGCTGCCCCGCACCCAGAAGCCCTCCCAGCGCAGGTGAGGCATGGCGCACAGGTGACATCGGGGCTCCCAGCGCAGGTGCAGCACGCAGTACAGGTGACGTCAGGGCTCCCAGCGCAGGTGCAGCACGCAGTACAGGTGACGTCGGGGCTCCCAGCGCAGGTGCAGCACGCAGTACAGGTGACGTCGGGGCTCCCAGCGCAGGTGCAGCACGCAGTACAGGTGACGTCGGGGCTCCCAGCGCAGGTGCAGCACGCAGTACAGGTGACGTCGGGGCTCCCAGCGCAGGTGCAGCACGCAGTACAGGTGACGTCGGGACTCCCAGCAGCTCTTCTCACAGGTCTTCGCTGTGGGCAACCCGAGGCCTGGGGAGCCCCTCTAGACCGCGAGCCCATCCTTGAGGGCTGTCCCGAGTGGTTGTCTGAGCAACGGCTACCTAAACCGTCCAACTAGCAGAACAGCAGATGCACAGCTTACGCAGGAAGGGCCGGGCACAACTGCAGGGCCTGGGTACCGCCAGGCGACCGGGGCTCGGATGCCCCCACACTCCACCTTCAGATCGGCCGCAGCGCTACATCCTGGGGGCAGTGGACAGGTCTGGGCGAGGCTTCCTGCCTCGTCCACGGCCAGCTAGGGAGCGCCTGATGGCAGAGGGGCCTCCGTCCTTGCAAGTCTTGGTCCTGCAGGCCAGCCAAGGTTTCCTGGGACACGTGTCTTCCCTCAAAACTTACGTGGGGGCACAAAGTGTAAAAGTCACTCTGACTCTAACGAGAACACGAGTGACTGGTGCAAGAAAGAAAAAACACAGTCTCCACAAAACAAGACAGCCATTCTGGTCCATGACACGGGAATCACAGACAAATCCCACCTTAGAAGAAAGACTTCAGACGTTAATTCATTTCCTTCCAGGCCTTTTCTCTGCATAATGTTCAATGTTTTTCAAAGTTGTCATTAGTTTGAAGCTGGCTTTTCTCACACAACATTATATCATGAGAATACCTGTGAGTCAAGGTGCCACCACAGAAGCAGACCAGAAGAGACACACTAAGAGACTTACGTGACTGGGGGCCACCTGGGCCATCTCAGATCCAGAGGGCAGGCCACCTGGAAGTCGCCCACAACAGGACAGAGCTGCTGTCCACGGGAGCCTCAGCTCCGCCCTTCACACCCCTGAGTACTAACCTCCTGGGACACCCCCAACACCCGCTTCGGCTTCCCTGAGCAGCTAGGCATCGGCGTGGCCAGCAGATGACCATAAAACTGACCATCGCAACACCACGTCGGCACTCTGTTAAAAGCTCGTCCACGCATTTAACCGCTCCCTTCACGGAAATCCAGCGTTCTCCCCGAATTCTGTGACGCGAGTGACGCTGAAATGAACGAAAGGGAAGGAACTGTGCATTCGGTCTTCACACTCGTACCTAACTCTGCTGGGGAGGACTCCTGGAGAAGGGGAGCCACACACACACAGGGCTCCAGAAACCCGCGCCGGGTCCCCCGAGTCTGGTGGAAGATGGACCTGGGCCCACATGGAGTCTGACCACGGGGAAGCCCATGCAGTCCCGGGGTCCACGAGGGGCCAGGGCCCCTCAACCAGTCAGACTGCGAGGACCTCACCGAACGCTCAGGGGAGCCCAGCAAGGCCGGGGTTTACCAGGAGGACTGAACTAGCCCCAGAATAAAGGGTGCCCCAGACACGCCCCCAACAAGGCTTCAAAACAAGCTTCTAAAAGGGCGATAAACCAGCTGCGTGCAAAAACAGAACTCAACACTCTTTAAAGAAAAAAACTCCAGAGACACAACCACACAACACCCACAACGTCTAGCATCCAACATGAAGGCACCAGATGTGGGAAAATGCAGGAAACCATGGCCCGACGTCAGGAGAAAATTCAGCCAAGAGAACCAAACCAAGAAATGATGGAGACAATAGAATCAGCAGACGAAAGCCTAAAACAGCTATGATAAATATACTAAACGATCTAGAGAAAACGACGAGAGTAGAAATCGAAGCCGTAAAAAATAATCGAGAGCTGAACTGAGCGTAAAAAATACTCGCAGAGCTGACAAACCTACTACCTGTAATAAACGACGTGCTGATGACTAGGTAGAGACCAGACACTAAAGGAGAAAAGAGCAAATCTGAAGACAGGGGAACAAAAACTATTCCGAAAGCAGCACAAAGCAAGGGGACTCGGGGGCGAGCCGGAAAGCCCCACACCCGCAGCACAAACACAAGGGAGCGCCCCCGAGCGCACCGCACCTGACGGCCGCAGCCGTGACCAAGGGCAGCTGCGCGTCCCGGCCGAATCCCAGGGCTGGGGACAAGGGGGCGTTCCTGCACGGGGACACGGTCACGCACTCCTCAGGAACGGTGGGAGCAGGAAGAGTGCGGAACGACGTTCTTTGAAAAAAAGCATCAATTCCTAATTCTGCAGATGGTGAAAATATCCTCAGAAACGAGGATCAAAATAACACGCCTTCAGACGGGCAGGGAGAACTGACAGCAGCGGCCCTTACAGGACAGGCGGGGGGACCCCGCACCATGCCCCCTTCTCACCGGAGCCCCTGTGTGGACCGGCCCTTCTCCTCTGGCCTTTAGTGGGGCCACTAGGACTCTCGGTTTCACCCATCCCACCTCACGAAATTGGCTTCCCTCCTCTGCACTGTGTGTTGCCAAGTTGGACACTCTGCTTCGTTAACGAGGAACCCCCCTCAGAGACGCCCCAGGCAGGTCACGGGGGTGCGAGGGGCAGGACGGACGGAAGGGAGCGTGGGACAGGGCTGGGCAGGGGAGAGGCCCCTGGGGACGGTCAGGGCGCCGTCCTGCCACGGAAGAGAGACCTGAAGCGGAGCTGGCTCGGGGCGGCGTGCTGTCCCCAGATGCGGCCACGACCCTGCACAGGGAGGCCGTGGCTCTCCTCGCCCACGCACCCGGCAGGAAGGGCTAGTGGGCAGCGCCCCGCTGGACGCAGCCCCGCGGAGGAACAGGCAGAGCGTGCAGCCTGGCCGGACCCCGCGCAGCACGGGCCACGCGGTGACATCGGGAACGGCAGCGATGGTGCACTATGCTACCCCCTCTGCCTCACATGGGACACTCAGGAGGGGACCCTGCTCGCCCAACAGAAGGTGTTTTGCTAGGTGGCAGCCGCTGAGGGGCTCTGTGCCCACTGTCCCAGTCAGACGGCCTCCCAGGTATCTGTCCCTCAGGCCGAGGGGACAGTGGGTGGCATCTATAGGAAGGGCACCATCAGGAGTGGGGCCAGACAGGTGGGTCTCACCGGCTGTGTGACTTCAAAAAGGAGATAATGGAGGGCCCTGATGCCCACTGCCCTCCCAGCCTGTGCAACCAAAGCGCTGTCACCCTGTCAGCACGCACTGCTGCTGTGTGACCACTGAGTGACGGCAAGGCCCGCTAGGACACCGACCCACCCCGCGGCCCAGCGAGAAAGGAGTTCTTACTTGGGAAGCGCTGGGGGGCCCATCGGGGCCTCGGCAAGTCCTGCGGCAGCATCCGTCAGCTCAGCGTCCTCCCTGGAGCCTGGGGCCTCCTCCCGCAGGGCGACTTGCTGGCCCGAGGCCTCCTCCCGCGGGGCGGCCTGCTGGCCTGGGGCCTCGTCCCGTAGGGTGACTTGCTGGCCCGGGGCCTCCGCGCTCGCCTCCGCTGTGGGCTGGGCCTCGGCCTCGCCCCGCATCTTCTCCTCCAGCTCCCTCCTCCTCTTCTCATCGTCCTGACGTGCCATGTGGTCAAAGGTTCGGAACACCTGAAATCACACAGCGATGGGCATGAGCGCCTCTGCCCAGACCGCAGCGTCCCGAGCCAGCAAGGACAGAAAGGCAGCACTGCCAACAACATGATCTGGACTCCCCAAGAGCTGCTGCAACAACAATCCTGAACGGGGAGCTCCAGAACCCCCGAAGGGGAGGCCTGCCAAGCAGAGGCCCCCACGAGCCGGCTGCCACCCCAGAGCGCTCTCTGTGGAGACTGCTCAGTAGGGTCTGTGCGCTGGGCACAAGGCGGTGCCAGGGTCTGGGAGCCCTAGAAACGTCAGCTCATGCTCCAGAAGGGAGGTGCGAGCCGGCAAGCGTCACCCCGCTGTGGCCCACACAGCCAGGCGGGAGGTCAGCGTCCCAGAAAGCTCGGGAATCCACTGGACAAACTCCACGTGTGCCCACGACGTGCAAGAACAGACAGACAGTGGCAGCTCTGCCCTTGGAACCCCACATTCTAGGAGCAAAGCAGCCCTTCGTCTTTTTTGGAAGTCACACCCCCTACAAGTGCTAGGACTGTCTCCCGAGAAAGTGCACATGAAATGTGGTGCCATCCACGGCACGTGCAAACAGGACAGACCCACACGTGGCAGCCCCAGTAGGAGGCCGCGATGCGCACACTCCCGGGTCAGGGAGCCCGCAAAAGCTCTTCCAGCAAAGAAACCCGGGTCCTCTCCGGGAGAGCGGGCTCCGAGTCAGACGTCAACGAAAGGCACGTCTTCCTCAGAAGCCAGATGCCCCCAGAGAGGGGCGTCAGGAAAGAGCTCCTGCAGCTGCTGGTGGCAGGAGGCTGGCGGGTCCACGCTGGGACGTGGCTGGGAGCAGACACAGCAGCCACGCTCCTTGGAGTTTTCCCAAAGGAACTGAAACATGTCCACACAGAACCAGCACGGGGGCGGCGCCAACAGCCTCATTCATCACTGTCAAAACCTGGAGCGACTGAGACGTCTGGATGGGTGGGACAGCCGTGGTCCACCCAGACAGTGGAGCATCCGTCACCCACAAAGAGACGACTGTCCGGCCACGAACAGCCGCGGGGAACCTCAGATGCACACGGCCGAGTAAGGGGAGCCCATCTGAGGGGGCTGCGCATTGTGTGCTTCCAGCCACGTGACGTTCTAGGGAAGGGACAACTGTGGACAGTGAAAGGGCGGTGGCTGTCAGGGGACTGGGAGGCGGGAGGGAGGGACAGGCGGAGCACAGGGGATTTTAAGCCAGTGAAACCACTGTGTGATACTGTCATGGTGGACATGTGACACAACGCATCTGTCCAAACCCACAGAACCTGCACCACCAGGAGTGAGCCTGACATCAACCATGGTGTGGGCGACGATGACCTGTCAGTGCAGATTCGTCAGTCGTCACAGATGTTAACTGTGGCACGCATGGGGCAAGGGTCTCGGAGAACTCTGTACCCTCCCTTCGACTTTGCTGTGAACCTAAAAGTGCTCTAAAAAATTCATCTTAATAAAACATAAAGATGTTTTACAAGTGGGCAGGAGCCTGGGTTGAAAGGGCCCAGGTGGGTGTTGTGCAGGGAGCAGGACAGAGCTGGAGCAGCGCCACCACGCCGAACTGTGCCCGACACGCGGACACGCGTTCCCCCGACCCCCGGAACGCGGAGCGGGCAGCGCCGCCGCCGGACAGGCGAGGAAGAGTCCGGCCAGGGGCGAGTAACTTGCCCAGGTGCTGTCTGTCGGAAGAGAAGCGCCAAGCACTGAAAGACAGAGGTGCAGGAACCACGTCCCGAGGCGGAGCTCGGAGACCGCACAGGCCACGTTTGCCTCTAGACACCCGGCGCGCTGCCCGCCATCCCCAGCGCCCACATCTGGGACCCCGACCCTCTGCCCTCGGAGCCGAGGCTCCCCTGCGCCCAGTCCTTCACTGCAGGCCCATAAGACAAGCCAGAGCAGGGCTCCCCGGGACCCCGCGCCGCGCCCCTGCTCCGCTCGCCTTCTAGACTCTGGAATCACAGGGCTGTGGGGCTGAGGAGACACCTGTGCCCTCCAAGCAGCACTCCCACCGGGCAGAGCAGAGCGACTCTGCCAAGACCCCCATGAGCAAGGCGGCCAGCCTTCCCGACTCCCGGGCGGGCTGCTACCGAGCACGCCGACTCCTGGCCAACGGCTCCAGGATAACGCAGAGCCGCCCAAAGTGAATGAAATGTCCCTCTAAACCGTTTGTTCTTAAAATGTACTAACGTGCCATAGAGGGCAATGCATCTTTCACATGTGTCCTTCCGATGAGGGTCCTCGGGCTGTACGTCCAGGCTGTGCAAGCCCTCAGAATCAGGAGAAAAATTCTGGGCAGTTTGACACCACTCCCCAAAATACCAGAGAAAGATTCAAGTTCCAGAATGAAGCACCCCAACACTCCCATCCAAACCCCCTTTGCTGGGGTCTGAAGAGACCCCAAGCACCTCCCTTGGGCAGTCTGTCACGGCATCAGGGGCAGACAAGCAGGGTGGGGTCAGGAGGCCACCTATCACCACTGAGAGGTGACACGGTGTGGCACCAAGTCACTTGATCTGACTTAGCATCTTTCATTTTTATTAAAGTATGGTCGACAACCAGAATGGCATTAATTTCTGGTGTACAACACCGTGAGAGACATCTGTACACCTGACACAGTGATCCCCGCTCTGGTCACCGTCTGTCCCCGCGGTTATCGCAGGGCTGCTGACTACATTCCCTACGCTGTGCACCACACCCCGTGACTTGGCCGTTTGTAACTGGGAACCTGTGCTGCCTGGCACCATAAGGCCCACCCCACAACAAAGCCGCCAACACTGAACGCCCTTCCAAATGTCCTGCCAAATGCCTCTGTGCTGAAGGGACAGCTCCCAGGATTCGCGCTGACCTTCCCAGCCCAAACACCCGGGGATCAGTGCTATGTTAAACTTCCTGGGCGATGCTACCAGGCGGGAACCACTTGCGGAGAAGCCACACCTCTATTAAGCTGCTGGAAAGTGTCCCCTGGTTTCCGTGATACTTACTGCCCTGCCCACGTCCCCTCGCCCCCTCCCACTCTACAGCCCTTGCCTCTCCCCTCTCGTCCTGGGATCCTCCCCGAGGGCTGCTCTCCATCTTCAGCTCTTCACCCCCTCAAACCACTCTGCTGCCTCCGTCTCCTGCGAGATCCAGTCCCACGATTCCGACAACCCGTGGGCAGGGGCTTCTGCCTGCAATTTCAAATGCAACTTGTCTAAAACTAGGCTTTTTCCCCCAAACTCAAGTGACAGTACTCAGCGCATTATCATTATTCCAACTGCCCAAGTTTGAAACCTTGGATCCTCTCTGAGTCACCCTCCCCTGCTCCCATTTCCACTTCATTAAACTAGTCACCACGCCTTAACTTGTAAGAGTGCCTGGAACACAGTAGGTGCTTTATATATTGATACCACATAAATGAATTACCTGTCAGTTCACCTGTAAAACCAGGCTGTGTTAAGGTTAAGTAAGACGGCACCCTGGAACGTAAACCCTCTGCCACAGTAACCGGCACTCGCAGGGGCTCAGCAACCGTCCCCTGCTCTGCCACATCTCCGCAGGCTACACTGGCCATAGATAAGTGTTCCCACCCTACTATGGAACAGTTAAATAATGGAATAGAAAGATCTGAAATCACAAAAATGAAGTTTTGAGCTCCAGCTCTATGAGTTTGGTCGAATCACCTACCCTTGCTGAACTGGCACCCTCACCTGCCACATAAAATTCAACTGCATCTATTTCAGAGGGACGTCCATGCACGTACTAAACCGCCACTGAGATGGCACTCGGCCACCGGGAGGACGAGGACTAGCCTTCGGTTCTGAAACTGAGACCCGACTCCACCCCTCAGCCCTCACGGGACGGTATCGTCTTCAGTAGTTACTCAAATGGTGTAAGCTGCGGTTCCTTCATCAGACACCAGAAAACACCTGACCTGTGCGCAGCTTGCAGCAAGACCAGATCATGTTTAAAAGCACGATGTAAACTGTAAAGTGCTGGAGGGCTGTGGGAGGTACCACCAGCTTTTCTACCTTCCCAGGTTCCTACAAACAGGCTCAACACTTGGCCGAGTACCTGCTTTCATCCCATCAAAATCCCACCTCCCCTCCAAAACCTTCTTGATTTCCAAGCCATTGTTTCTATTCCTTTCCTTCCAGTGAGCTGTCACATAACTGGCCTTCCATAGTCACTGCCCGTTTCTCCTTAACTATACATAACAAGTGCCACAAGAGAGTAACCACCCTTAAACATCCGTATCAGAATGCATCTCCAAGGCCTGTGACAGCTGAGAGTGTAAACGCATTCAGCAAATACTAGTTTATTGCATTCCAAGGTACCCAGTCAACTCCAGTGATTGCGTTTAGCAGAACCTCAAACCTACAATTTAACCTGGTTATACAGGTATTTGGACACTCGAATGGGCTGTCTTTGATCTGGGAAGCCACATTTCAAACAAGGGGACCACACCCATCGGTCAGCACAGTCTCCCACCTCTAGCCTGTGGTTCTGGGGCATAATTTTACCATTCCCTGGCTCGCAGCGCCGGCACCTCCAAGGACCCTGCGCTGCGGGAGCGGAGCCGGCCCAGAGCGGAGGTGTGCCACTTCTGACACCCAAGAGCAACTTGATATGTAACCGGCGTCTCTGCTAACTAGAAGCCGCGGCCCCGGGAGGCGGGTCTGGGGAAGCACCAGAGGGGGAAACTGAGGCCAGAAGCAGGGAAGGGGGCGGGCTCGCGCAGGTCGGGGACTCCCGGGGTCCGGGCTGCCGCCGCCGCCCGCCCGCCCGCCCG